GGACATCGGAAAACAACTCGGAATCGTGCAGTCAACGGTGAGTCGTGTGATTAAACGTTACTACGAAACTCTGAGCATCGAACGGAAGGAGAAATGCGGTCAGAATGGATGTTCTATTAGTGATCAGGACCACAAGCGTGTCGTGAAAGCGTTCAAGCGGAATCCCAATGCTTCGGTCAGGGATGTGGCCAAAAACTTGAATCTGTCCAAGTCTTTCGTTCAGAGAGCCAAGGACCGGGAAGGACTGCATACGTACAAAGTGCAGAAGGTTTCAAATCGTGACGAACGGCAAAATATGGTGGGAAAGTCACGGCCCGGAAACTGTACACCCAGATGCTGACGAAGGCTTATAATCTCATAATCTTCTTTCCTTTATTTAACGTCGGTCTCTGTTCCGCAATCTAGTGCCAATCACCGACGGACATCGATTGCCATCCATTGTCGGCAACCGAATGTGCAGGAAAGCAGCTTCCACACCTGCGTAGGATATCGCACCCATTCACAACACACATGGGCCGGGACCAACGGCTTTACTTCCCTTCCGAAGGAAGACGTGACCAGAGATTTTTATGCCTCAGAAAAATCCCACCGACCTCGGCTGGGATTGAACCCAGACCCATTGGGGTGTTAGAAAGCAGTCACGCTTACCACTACACCACCGGCGCCGGCTTTGGTATTGTCTCATAATGAATGATGAGACTTACGTCAAGGCGGACTTCCGGCAGCTTCCGGGGTTACTGTTCTTCACCGCCCAGCACAAGTTTGATGTTCCGGAGGAAGTAAGGAAGCAAAAACTTTCAAAGTTTGCCAAGAAACACATGATTTGGCAAGCGAACAGCTCATGTGGCAAACGGAGTGCACCGTTCGTGACTACCGGGACTGTAAACGGGGGGATCTACCTCAAGGTGTGTCTACAGAAGCGTCTGCTTCCTCTGTTGAAGCAACACGAGGGCCCTACGATCTTTTGGCCGGATCTAGCTTCGTGGCACTATTCAAATGTTGTCCTGGAGTGGTACGAAGCCAACAGGGTCACTTTCGTACCCAAGGACGCACCGGAACTAAGGCCCATCGAAAAATACTAGGCTATTATGAAGCAGGCACAACGGAAGCATCCCAAGGAGGTCAAATCTGAGGAAGACATGAAGAAAAAGTGGGTTTCCGTACAGAAGAAGCTGCAGCCAGATGTTGTACAGAACCTAATGAGTGGAGTTAAGCGTAAGGTGCGAGCGTACGGTTATGGTATTGAAGTTGAATGAAATATATATGCCAAAAGCTTACTAATGGATTATATTTTACTGTCTGAAAGTTTGAAAAGGATCTGTAAACTAGGTAATTTTCATTTTTCATTTAATATTTCATTCATTTTCATTTCTACAACGTTTTTTCCGTCATGAAATTTTATGGGGGACACCCTTTATTAGGTCAAAAGTCATTAGGCCGAATGTCGGAAAATTATTACTGAACACTTGCGAAGAACATTTGCTGGTCTGAAAATAACCAGCAAATAATATAATGGTGAATAGGGCTTTTATCTATTAGCGTTAGCGTTGTTATGATATACTTCGTAGATTGGATACTACCGACACACACGACTCTTTTCAAATTCTCAGTCAGACTACTTTCAGGAATAATGCTGGGGAGTAAACATTGGTTCTAATCTAAACAAGAGTAACAGAAGCATGACTGTCGCTATTCCCGGCCACGCCCATCTTTACCATAACTAGGGATAGGGAAGGAAATGTTACTGAGCGAGAGGCCACCGAATTAGCGACACCCTCATAAGCGCTACGGATTTGAAGGTTCGGGTAGGATATTCGGTTAGGATTCGCCTTAAGTTGGCGATGCAACCAAAAGTATATATTGTTTATGTGTTGCTCATTTAATCCCTCGGTAGCAGACTATCGAAAGAAAATATTCATTTTGTTTAGTGATTATGAATTTTAAGAATCATGACGGAGAGCTTGGGATTAAACCCATGATTTTCTGCTCAGTAAGCAAAAATGATCCCTCCCGGGTTATCGAGCATCTCAGAACCATAACGCTCCGCGACATAACAGGACTTCGTTTTCGCTTGATATGTAACGAACGACTTAAATACGCGATAATGCAAATAGTTTCCGAGGTTGACGATTAATCTCAAATATAAAAATGACGATGGTGATTATCAAAAATGTATTGCACGCAACCATTCTTCATAATACACTTTTTTTCTACCTATCTTTATATTAGGCCTATGGACCATGCGTTAGCTTCAAAACTTCTAACCAATCTGGAAAATCTATCAGATCACAAAAAAAAAACAAAACCAAAAACTTAAAACGTTTTAAAGATAGTTGCAAGCAGTGTTCATCACATAGTAACTGACAGACTTGGTCCTCAAAAAAACCTTGGTCAAAATTTCATTCAATTTTTCATCATTGGTATTGACAATTGACATGGTTGCCTTGACTGTGACTGTTAGCTCAAATGAGTGACGAAAGCAGAATTGTCAATGTCACCGTGCATTGTCAAGATTTTGCAGCACTGGTTGCAAGTAAACTTAGCTGAAAGCTAATAAATAAAAAAAAAACAACGCGTAAATAGGCAAGAAGTATTGAATCTCTTGTATCCAGGCATGGAAAATCATTTGCATTCATTTCATGCATTCATTTACATTCATTTGCCCTTAACTTTTTTCATCAACATAATTCCGCAAAATGATGTATGAAGCTTTTGTAGGTTTTGTTATTAGCTACAACTTCTGTTAACAACTTAAATCCGTATCTCTTATGTATGATGAACCAGAGCGAACAGAAGCCACTACTGTTTTTCAGTGAATGTATTTTACATTCACTGAAAAACAGTAACAAGTTCTGCCCGCTCTAATTCGTGATGCATAAGAGATACAGATTTGAGTTATGGGTAAAAGTTGTAGCTAATAACAAAAACTACTAAAGCTCTATACATCATTTTGCGGATTGCTGTTGATGAAAAAAGTTAGAGACAAATGAATGTAAATGATTGCATGAAATGAATGTAAATGATTTTCCATGCCTGCTTGTATCGTATGCTAATGTTAATTGACTGTAACAAAAATAATATGCTAAAATAAAATAAAATTTATTAAAATATTATGCAAAATTTACCTCCCAGTTCCTCTGTATACAGAACGAACAACCAATCGTTTGAGGCATACTGAATCATTATAAACACCGACGAACCGACATGCCACAGGAGCATTTCGTTTGTGCACAATTCGAATTGTCAAACGAGCGATTCGAACTTTCAAACGGGCGATCAGATCTGTCAAACGAGGTGAGACGCAAACCAAGGCAATATAAATTATATGTGGGTTCGTGTCCTTGCATATGGTATGACGCGATCGGATAAGTAGATGTCGGTAGTGTTTAACGTATTTTAAATATGGCGTCTTGGGCACGAATTTGAAAGTAGCTTGTATGAGCTGTCACGTAGGTTCATCGGTGTTATAAAGGTGATATGTTTCGCTATGGGAAATCATCATAGTTGCAAATATAAAGAGACTGAACATAACCCTTTGCTTCAGTACGTCCACCTACATGTCCCTGGGGAGGGGGTAAATAGGGCTCTTTCATATTGGACTCAAATCGCCAATAATTATTCCGTCTCATACCAGAAAGAAGAAGAGAAAAATACTATAGAAATTCTTAGCCAAAGTAAACTATCATTCAGTCAAATAGATTGGTGTGAGAAAATAATGGCCAGCTTTTAAAAGAAGGAAATATAATGCAATTACTTATTTTGTTTATGGAATCAAAAATCACGAAAACAGTAAAACTGGAAAGAACTGCTATGTTTTAAAGAAGAACAAATCCTCCAAAAAAATCATTTTGATTCCTAGTCCCGACTACTTCAAACTAGGGGAACAGGATTTTTCAGTAATCAAAAGAACACATCTTAGTCCTTGTTACTTTTTATGCCTTGTTGATAGTGACAAGACTCGGCTTTGTCCACCGAGGATGATCGTGAAACAAGGAAAAATGAGTTAGTAAGTCTTCATCTATGTGGTTCCTAATCTTCTATTCGTTGTTCTCTAGTTTGAACTGGTTAAGATTAGGGATCTGATGCATGGTCATTATCGGTGTCATTCCTTAATTTTGTTGCTAAGAAATCCAATTTTGATTGACAAAGGGGCGCGCCTTTGAAGTGTATTGCAACACTACTAAGGGTATAAAGAGCGGGACCTTTCAATTAGAGTCGGATCCTTGCGATAAATGCAAGAATGACAACTGTAAAAAAGTCGAATACTTCATCATTTCTCAATAGTGATGGAGTAATACGAGATGCACTAAACTAAGGACGGGATATACTACAATAGATCAAATTACTGGCCGCAGTGGTGTTAGGTCCCGAACAGAGGACAAAAAGCTGGAAATGATTCAGCCTAATGGCCATCCGGCCTAATGACCATTCGGCTTAATGGTCATACAACATTCTACCATACACACCGCCATACATTCGCGACTTAGTAAAATGTCGTTAGTGAGCTCCCTGACGATATTTCGAAAAAAAAGGTTGTTCAAAGCGTTACATCTGTTTATCTGTGGTGTCCTGGTCTAGTAGGGATTTTCCATGACAAACAAAGTTGGTAAGCATATAATTATTAGCAACTGCACTACTGAGAGATTACTGTCATAGTAAGCCCGTTATCATACATTAAACTTCATGAATGACGGAGGCACAGAGTTCCGAACGTTTTTGATTTATAGCAGCTATCTCCGCAGTAGTATTTGCGCGTGGGTCAACGAGTTTCACTCCACTTTATTACTCTCCAGTAGCACAATGCTCGCTATAATACTCTCGCTCTCAGCGACTAATCGAGCATTTAGCGTATAATAACCCATACTAGTAGTGATGACGATATGGACCGTACATCTATCGCTCAATTTTTGCACGAAAATTTGCTCACAGCAACAGCAGCAAATAACGCTGAACGCGCTGCGGTACCATGGTCTCTCGCCAGATTAATCCATCAGTTGTCTAGTTTATACGGTACGATGAGCACCGCCGTCGACGCCACCGCCACCGTCGATACATTGACTGTGATACCACCAGAAAATTGGCCCGAGCTACGCGATCTGTATGTGGCTAATTGGCCCGTGAATTTGGTGGCCTATCACACGGTTGATAATTTCATCCAGTGGCATCGGAAGGACCCCGGCATCAAGCATCTCACATTCTACAGCCTGAATGGGGACTGGCGAAAGGATGGCACTTACGTGATAGTGGTAAGTGAAACAGAGCGCAACAGAGTATGAGTCCAGTGGTGGGATGGTGGTGAAATCAGTGTTATTTTGCTATTGCAGGATCGCTATCAGCTGTTTCTCTATACGCTTGCGGGTACCAGCAGTGATGTGCTGCAGCGGGCACTGCACTTACTCGATTGGAGCCAAGGGTTCAAAGTGAGTTCGTTCCTAGCGAGGCATCGGAATGCGGTGATTAATGTGATCGATAGTAAAGGCCTTCGGAAGGAGTACGACAGCTGCACCTATCTGTACTATATGTCGAAGGAGGAATCGACCAAGCTGAAGGTCGAGCTTCCAGAGGGATTTCGACTGGCAGACCTGACGGCCGACGATGCTGTCAAAGTTGATGCGGTTTGGCCGAATAGGCACACGGGGTCGTTGTTTTTCCTACAGCGACTTGCCGCATGGAATCCCAACGTTGGATTGTATAATGCCTGCGGAGAACTGGTTGCATGGTGTTTCAGGTAAATGAGAGTGATTGTGGTGATTTTCAAGGTCTTCGATTTTTTTTCTGCTGTGAATGGAAGTGAACTGATGAATCATTCGTATTGGCAATTTCGGTACGAGGGATGCAATTATTACGTTCAAACGGATGGTTGCGAAGTCAATTCCTGTGCAAATAAGTAAACTCAAAAGGCGTCAATTTTTAAGTTTCTGTCTGTTAAAATCCTTTTCAATTTGTTCTAGTATTCTAGTCAAGTCAAGAGAATTCTGGTTGTAGAAAATAATCACGACGGAACTGGGATCCAAACCTAGTGATATAATTATGAACCAATTCTTCGTCGTTTAATGCGTGTCTTCCGGAATAAATTTAGTCGAATATTTTCAATACTACACGAATATACGAAAAATACATCAAACGTATTGGTTCCTTATATCAGGGTGGCACTGAATTTCCATTTTAAAGTTCCAGCTTTTTCCCGGTTTTCCTGATTGATAATTCAAAAATTTCCCGGTTTTATTAATTTTTTAATTCAAATATGACATCCAAAATCATTACGATTTTTAGCTGAGAAAATTTTCAACAAGCGCAGCTATCATTTTCTAAAGCAGAGTGAACTGCTGAATTATGAGATATATATGAAGCGAAATTATGGTTTCCCCATAGTAATTTCCATATAAACTTCAAATGGTTTGTGCGAAGTCAGTTTCTTACTAAATGAGTTCAAATATTGGGAGGATAATCAGGATCCAATTTGGAATCGTTTAAGCACTGTGGAGCGAACATTTCAAATTTTGCATCAGTCTACTGCACATACACTCAGTACTGATAGCAGTAGAACAAATCAGGCAAGAAACTGAAAGAATATGAAAAGCGTTCTCACCGAGTGCAAACTCGAAAATGATAGGTTAAAGAATCGTTCACTCTTTCTAAAGCGAGGAATCGTTTTGCCAGGCGTTGGATGTTGGAACAGTTTTCAGGATTCTAATCATTTATTTAATTTTCTAGAGAACTCGGATAAGAATGTATGAGGAGGGAAGCTTTTGTTATTATCGAAGAAAATGGGCCGAAGGATATCAGAATTTTATGAAAATTTTGAACACAGATAGAGTTTTGCTATAAAGTCTGGTCCATTTAGAATCCGGACACATATAACCACGTTTTTTTTTTGGGATTGATTTGACGTAAGAAAAATGTAATTTAGTCAAAATGAAGGTATTTATTTGCACATTCATAAAAAAATCAAAATTATTCCGACGGCGTTCAGATGAAATCGCGGACTGGACTGGTCAACCTCAGCGTATTTTGGGACTTTTATCCTTAAAATCAGAAAATTTGCGGAATCATAGATTTGAGAATTTCTTGATAATTCTGCGAACTGCAGGATAGCTCTAATAGCTTTAAAAAACTTTCAGATCTACGGGAAAGTTTTAAGATCCGTAATATGAGATTCCAATGGTCTCAGGGCTTTTCCATACAGCTCAGTAAAATTTCAAGAACTGTTCCATTAAATTCAGGAATGTTACAGGAACTTACCAGAAGTTTAAAGATATTATATGACTTCAATTGAATTTAACATTTTAAGGTGAGTGACGTGAACTTTTGTGGCTGTTCTGAGAACTTCAAAATAGTTCCATGAATAACAGGAAAATTGAGGGAACTTCAGGAATGTTCTGAGAGCTTCAAATATACTTCGAGAATTTTAAGCGAGAAATTTCAAGAAGTTCAAAAATTTTAAGATTTTTATTGAACATGAGGGAAGTTAAAAGAACTCAGTAAAAATTTCTGAAGCTTTATAGAAGCTCCAATAAATTCAAGGGACTGCAAAAAACGTCGGGATGTTAAGCGATTTCCAGTATACCTTCATTGATTTCAGGACATTTCCTGAAACATCCTCAGGTGAATAATGAGAATTTCAGTGCGGTCCATATATTTTTTACGAACCTTAAATAAGATCCGAGAAATAAAAGGAAATACTTGGATTTCAGGAAAATTTTAAGAACGACTGCTGGATAATAAGGTAAAATCTGAGAACTTCCATAACATTTTGGGCAGTTCTGGAAAGCTTTGAGAACTTCAAGGTGGTTCCATCATGGAAACGGCAGAATCATTTAAGAAGTCCTAAGATCGTCTGCGAAGTCAAGAATAACTTCAGAAAAGTCCAAATAACTTGTGGATACTTTAAATTAATTCCAAGAACCTCAGACAAGCTAGTTCTTGAGATCTTTAGACAAGCTCAGAGATCTTAAGGACAGTCGCAATAACTTCCAGAAACTTCATAATTTTGGAGAAATTTAAAGATCATCCTTTACAGATCTTTAAAAAACATTCGAGAGGATCAGAGAGCCTCAGTGTAGTTCAATTTAATTAAAGAAACTGCTTTGAAGATCTCTGATCATCCTTCAAATATTGCAGACTATTCCAAAAAAAAATATGAAAGTGCCTAAAAATCTAAAAACTTTTCTAAATTGGACTTCTCTGAAGATCCGAGAATTTTACTGAAGTTTTTGGAAAAGCCCTGAGTTTCTAGTTACGATAATTGAACTACACTGAGGCTCTCTGATCCTCTCTAATGTTTTTGAAGCTACACGGAAGTTCGTGCAGTTTCCATAATGTTCTAAACCTGAAGATTTTCCCTGACAATGTCTGGACTTAATGTTGTTACCAAACTATGTTTTAAGTTTTCTAAATTACTCAGAAGTTCTCTGGACTTAAATTTCTAAAATTTTCCAAGAATTCATGGAGTTATCTTGAATTTATAGACATTATCCTTTACAGATCTTTAAACTTCCCCAAAAGTATGAAGGATCTGGAAGTTATTGCGACTGTCCTTAAAATCTCTGAGCTTGTCTTAAGGTCTCAAGAACTAGCTTGTCTGAGGTTCTTGGAATTTGTATAAAGTATCCACAAGTTATTTGGACTTCTCTGAAGTTTTTCTTGACTTCCCAGACGATCTTAGGACTTCTTAAATGATCCTGCAGTTTCCATAATGGAACCACCTTGAAGTTCTCAAAGCTTTCCAGAACTGCCCAAAATGTTATAGAAGTTCTCAGATTTTACCTTATTATCCAGCAGTCTGTCCTTGAAATTTTCTCGGATCTTGTTTAAGGTTCGTAAAAAGTATGTGGACCGCACTGAAATTCTCGTTATTCACCTGAGGATGTTTCAGGAAATGCCCTGAAATCAATTATGCTATCCTGGAAATCGCTTAACATCCCGACGTTTTTTGCAGTAACTTGAATTTATTTGAGTTTCTATAAAGTTTCAGAACCTTTTACTGAGTTCTTTTAACTAAAAACCTTTAATTTTTGAACTTCTTGAAATTTCTCGCTTAAAATTCTCAGAACTTTCCTGAAGTTCCCTCCATTTTCATGTTATTTATGGAACTATTTTGAAGTTCTCAAAACAGCCACAAATTTCACATCACTCCCCTCAAAATGTTAAACTCGATTAAATTCATTTAATATATTTAAACTTCTGGTAAGTTCCTGTACCTTTTAAGATTTTTCGAGAAATTGTAGATAATTAAAAAAAAAATCTCAGGAATGTTTAATTAATTTCAGGAATATTGCGGGGTTGGAAAACTTGAACTGACACCTTCTTGATAATTTAGGGAACATTGACATTAAGGTTCGAAAACTTTGGGTAATCCAGAAATGAACTTGGAAGTTTTTAAATTTTAAAGGATGTTCCATGATCTTAAGTTTCGAAAATGTTGGGAAAATTTAGGAACTTCCGGATACATCACTAAAATTCAGGTGAATTATGGGAACTTTTAAAATGTTCTGAGAAAAACAGGCAAGGCTAGAGCAATATTTTGGAGTTAAGAGATCTTTTGGGCCGGACCAATAACTTCTGAGATGCATCGAAAACTTCTGAAAAGTCTAGCTTTTTAAAATCGTACGGAATTATGTTTGGGTTTCGATCCAGCGATTGGGATCTTCATCAGGGCTAATTTAAGTAGATCGTAAAACTTTTTGCGCTGAAAGGAAAATGGCACAACTTTATACTGCATGAAGATGGTCAAGTCTAAAGACTGAAACGTCGAACATAAAACATCGTATCGTTTTGTACTGGAAATCCAATACCCAAAAAATAGTTTTTTTTTAAGTTTTTCTGATTGTACTGATTACAGACAAATTTTACCCGTACTCTAGTTTTGTGTGTACTTCCCTTAATTAGATTATGGGCGCTCCTTAAAGGGGGCGCATGAATTTTAGGTGAGCATATGCTAAGTGAGTAACCAGGTCTAAATTTTCCATGACAACACTGTTTGTACTTTTCTGTGTCTGAAAATTTCGTGACTAATATTCATTTTCATATGAGAGACGATAGCGGCGCCGGTGGTGTAGTGGTAAGCGTGATTACTTCTCACCCCAGCAGGCCTGTGTTCAATCCCAGTCGGCGCCGCCGGGATGTTCTGAGGCATAACATCTCTGATCACCGTTGGTCCTCGGTTCATGAGTTGATGGGTCGATAGGTAGGGTCCAGGTGTGGGACCTGCCTTCCTGGCGTCGGTAGCATTGGTGCTCAGCACGGAAAACAAGATCAACGGAAAACAAACCAAGGAAAAAAAAATAAGAGACGATGAGGTGAATTTGCTTCACATGCTTTGAAATTAAATAAACAGGATAATAGTAAATTAAGGACATTGAATACATAAATGATTTCTTTGATATAGTCGCTTGAACATTTTTAGGTTATTCGTGACTTTTATGTGAAACAAATTTAAAGAATTGATCTTAAGCATGAGAGTACACCAGGACGGACTCCTTTGAATAAATTATGTATCTAATTTTTATCTATTTATTTTGTTAAAATCCCTTGGTACCAGTACCGAAACACCGGTATACGCCAAAATGGCCCGGTACTGACAACCTACATGCGATCCATCTACCACTGTAACGAGAAACGCTGTTCGATTAATTCCTCTTAATTTTTCTTGTCTATCTCATCAACGGAACCACACTAACATTCAATTTTTTATAATTTTAGACTCCAAGCTGGACCGCTAGGCGCCCTCCAGGTAGATGAAAAGCACCTCAAGAAGGGCTACGGATCCATAGTGACGGTGGCAATGGCCAAAAAGCTGGCCGATTTGAACCAGGACTGCTTTGGGCTGGTCAATAATAGCAACATTCCTTCCAAACGTATGTTCGAAAAGCTAGGCTTCCGACATACGGACTTTGCGTACTGGCTGCGAACGTATCCGACCATCCCATGTCATTGGAATGATGACTAGATCATAAGGCAGCATGCCGGTCTTGTTAAACAGGGAAAAAAATGATTATATAGCAATAAATTAGTCAATTTAATGCCAAACTGTTATCAAAATTCAGACTTGCCTTCTTCTCTTTCCTATTGTATCACATGCAATGGTCTTTCGGCGTAGGACTCCCATTCCTAATCAATTTACTTTGTCCGAATATTGCCAAAGACTTCCCTTATCACTTGCTTCCGTTTGTTATGATTCTCCTATCATCGCAATCTTCCGGTAGATAGCAACATTTGGCTCGTATAAATTGGCTCACATTTTGCACTAAAAGAGCAGAATCAATTTGACAACGCTTTGATTTGGAATCTCTGGTGCAGCAAAAATGGTGAAATCTATTATCGTTGTGATCGTGGTGGCAGTGGCACTGTTTGGAGCGATACACGCGTCGGATCTGATCCTGGGAAACTACCTGCCTGGTGACCGAATCCTTCATTCCCAAGCATACTTCTCAGCCGGAATTATTAACCAGATTGTGAACCGAGTCGTCAGCTACAATGGAGTATACAATGTGACTGCGGTGCGAGCCTACGATCGATCGTTCAACCGAACTGGGCTGGCATTCCTGCATGGAGGAGGAATTGGCCAACGGAACGTGTCGATTATGATTCAAGGATACCGCGCCGGAGTGGGTTACGACTATCTGGTGGAAATTTACGGACGGTAGATATTAGATTGATAAATGTGATACAGTATTAGTTAAGAACACAGTACGGATAATATAAAAAAAATACTACGGATAAGTTGAACAATTTTGTTTCAATCAAAGTTAAGCATTTAACGGTTATCAATTGATCGAATAGTGATAATTCAATACTTATGGAGAGACCTTCCGTGGATACTTCTATTGGAAGGTGAACCTCACTGAACATGGCAGCTTTCAGTTGAACAAGTTTGTTATTTCTCTTTATTTCTATCTCAGATCTCTTGTTCTTATTATCGATGCAAAATACTGAATACTACCCATTCAAATGTCATCGACTCCATCCCGTTCTTCTGTTCATAATGACATCGTACTTTATATTGTATGACTTCTTCTGGCGGCAGCCGGATCTTCTTTCATATCTTTACTATCGTCTTGTTTCTGCACAAGAAACACTAATTCTTTAATTCATCATGGACCGTGTTACCCCAATGCATTTCCATCAACAACCACAATGATAAATAATGTTATCAATACATACACAAACCCATTCTCCTACTACCTTTGAGTAGTCAACTTTTTCTCAACTCAATACACGTATGCAAGTAAAATGCAAAATTGCATAATTCAATTGAAGAATCAAAGTGACGATTGACTCACAGATGGGGAGTCGGTGAAAATGGTAATGACGTTTTGATATCTGTCAAATTGCATGACATTTTTTTAAGTACATCATCTTTTTTTGTAACTGTGGATCTTAAAATTAGGTGTCACATTAACAGTGTTGGCTTTGCTTTGATTCGCCAATCGACGGAGACAGTAGTAATTTCGCGTCAGCCACCAACAATGTCAAATCGACTCGAGGAAATCCCCGTAGAAAGTTGGCCAGAATTGCGCGATTTGTATCGTCAAAATTGGCCCGAACACGTGTTCGCCTTCGGTACAATAAGCAACTATTTAAACTGGAAGCAATCGCAGCACCGTGATTCACTGGAAGTGCAAATCGTGTCCCTCAATGGAACGTGGAGGGAGAACGGAACATTTCTACTCTTTGTAAGTGTTTGCGTATTTTACGGTTTTTGCTTTATAAGCTCGCTTCAACGAACATCTCTGTCGTTTAAGGATCATTTTGAAATTTACTTCTACTCATTCGAAACAACCACCGGCTACTCTTCACTAATGGAAGCGCTGCTTTTGGTTGATTGGGGTAAATACCGCGAAGTCAGTATGGATTTCGTTGAGAAGCATCTAAATGCACTGGATAAAGCTATTTCCATCAAAGGACTGCCAGTCGTGAATGATGAACTAACCAACTTTTACCACATTCGGAAAGAGGACGCATCAACGGTGGAGGTGGATTTGCCTCATGGATATAGCCTAAGTCGACTATCAATCGATCATCTCGATTATGTTTACCGTCTGTGGCCACTGAAAGATAGCATCAGTAAAACCTCAGGCTATAATCTTCTGAAACGACTAATTTTGCTGAACGAGAGTGTTGGTCTTTTCGATGAAAACGGTAAGCTGCAATCCTGGTGTTTACGGTAAGTTTAAGATTCTAAACTAAGGTAAAGTATTGAGACACTCAGCTTAACATTCACTTACAGTGATCAAACCGGTGCCTTTTCTGATTTGCAAACATGCGAAGAACATCTGCGGAAGGGATTTGCACGGATTGTGATTCGGGAATTTGTTCGTCGGTTGGCATCTATGGGAGATGATTCGTATGCTTTCGTTCTTCAGAGCAACTACAACTCCTGTCGGCTGTTTGAATCGATTGGGTTTCGGAAAATCACTCATCTGCACTGGGTTGTCATCCGGAATAAGTAGATGTATAAAGCGAATACTGAACAGTGCTGTAAATTCTCAAAATCATTTGAACATTTTTGATGAAAATGAGAACAGTAGCTATTCTCTATCAAAGGGGACCTCCTCCGAATGGGTGATATCAGTTGCTTAGTCATTTGACGAAGGCATGGATCTTTCTCATTTGAGAAACGCTATATATCATTCAATTGAGTGTCGACATCGACCTTAAATTAGCCTTACATTGATCCGACATCGGGTTGACTTGTCTGTTCGGGACCATTTTGCTGGATTTCTTCTATACTCCACTGTCGTCTATCAAATGATAGTGGGTTACTCAATTGACAGTGACAATGAGCTTCAAATTATGATCATGTGAGAATTCGTTTACACAGAATTGATTGAATGGTTGCATTGGTTCATCTTCAATCGAATGATATGAAAATTTACAGCACTGATACTGAATACACTGCACAGTGGCCCGAAACAGCAAGTTAGCGGAAATAAATTATTTTCTTCGCGTCTATTCTATTTAGGTAGTTAGAGTCTGAACGGAAGAAAAATGACAATGTCAGAATAAAAGAGAAAAAAACTGGTTGCTTTGATGGCGCGCAGAATGTGTATTTCAGCGCGGCGCAGGACACTATAGACAAGAGCTTTTTTATGGATTCTTTTCTATGGAAAGCACAAAGCGCAAACGTGAATGAACCTGCTACGTTTGGGCAGGCAGCAGAGATTAGGAGAAAATAGGAAAAGGACAGTCCATTCAAAGGAGTGAATGAGTTCAGTTCGCTCTGTAAAAAAGGTGTCAATAAAACTAAGAATTGTTCAAGGCAAAATCGTGTGTTGTGATTTAGTGACTAATTTCCCTGTACCAAGCTATCGAACTAAACAGAGTCTACGGCGTTTTTTTTATAAAAATGATGATTAGGGTGGTCCTCTTTTTCACGAAAACAGCAATCCAACTTTTGTGTTATAGGTGAATACATTCTTCAGCATTCTTTGCTTAAGACGTCAATTTTCTAGCTCTTCATTTGACCATGCTAGAACTTTTTTTTTTCTAATATTGGCGAGTGGCTACAACGCTTTGATGAGACAATGAAACCCCACCCCGAAGCTTCTCCCCTGATCCCATCATTCGACAATGTACCCTTCTTACCTCGCGTAAACCACGAGTATTCGGTTCCAACTCCTACTAGACATAGAAATAAGTGAATTTTGTTACACACTATGAACAATTAATTATCGACTATTGAGCCTTCCAAATAAACGAACTAGATAAAAAAAACATTTTTTTTTTCTAATTTAAACTAATCCCTACAAAAAAAAGAAGTATGATGAAATTCTAGGAGTATTCAAAAGGAGCTCTTGAAAAAAGGTTCTCGAAAGCGACCCAACAGGAACAAGCTGACTTCGAGGCTGGTAACGTGTGGCCATGGATCGAGTAGAGTGGAGACGACTTCTTCGGACTGCAGAAATTTAGACCAGGCTTGGTTAGTGAACCGAGAACATCACACGAAAAATGTCGTCACGGTTCACTGAAATTAATATTTTATTCATGAATCCGATGTTTATTCAACTGTTCAAGAACTTGATTCAACTGTTCAAGAATTAATATACGATGTTTATTTAAATGTTCAAGAACTAGCTTGACGAAGAAACAGGAACCACTTACACGAACCATGCTTCTAAAAACCACGCGGTTCACGAAAATTAGGTTAATTCACAGACAAACAGATATAACTCTCACAATAAATTTTTTCGCAAATAAGGTTTTAGTTGGGAATGTGCTCACTAGACTGATGCAAAATTAGAAATTTTCGCTCCACAGTGTTCAAACGGTTTCAAATCGGGTCCTGATTAGCCTCCGAAAGTTTAAACTCATTTGATAAGAAACTGACTTGGCACAAACCATTTGAATTTTATATGGAAATTACTATGGGAAAACAAAACTTTATGTTCATTGTCTTCTAGCCTTTTTACATATTGTACTGTTAACAAATTCTATTGCTATTTTTATGGGAATTTTTTATCAGCTTCAACTTTCCAGAAGATCGTTTTTCAGCCAAACGTTGAATTAAATAGTTATTAATTATTTAAGGGATTGATAATCTTATGGCAAGATTAAGCAACTGTATTGTGGGCAATACTGTATTCTGCAGTGTGACATAGTAGCCATGATTTTTGTCCTCTATTCTACGCGCCATAAACACCAATGTTACCTGCTGAACAGTGTATTGAGCATAATCATAAGACATCAGTGACTTGAATCATTAATAATTTTTGTTCCATACATTTGATCGAAAAGTGGTCTTGAACAAATTTGTAACTGGAAAAACTTTCAACAAACTCAGCTATCATTTTCTAAAGTAGAGTGAACTGGTGAATTTTGAGATCGATATGAACCGAAATTATGGTTTCTCCATAGTAATTCCCATATAAACTTCAAATGGTTTGTGCAAAGTCAGTTTCTCACTAAATGAGTTCAAATTTTGGAAGGCTAATCAGGGCCCAATTTGGAACCGTCTTGACCACTGTGGAGCGAAAATTTCAAATTTTGCATCAGTCTAGTGCTCACGTTTGTCATGGTGGCGCCACTGCAGCGTTAAGCAAGCCACCACATTTCGAACTTATCAGTGATGCCAGTTCTTGTTTCTTCCATAGATAAGCGGAGGCACACAAATTATTTTTGGCAACAACGTGAAAAATGTTCATGCCATCATGTAGAGCTCTTCGTTGTGCAGTTTTGTTTTGTTTTGTGCGCAAAAGTTCAAAATGAAGTGCAAGGCAAATCTTTGCAACAATGAATCGAGGATTGGTTTGCGTAATATTTCCTTCTTCGGAATGTAAAGTGTGGAATGTGTTTTGTGCTGATAATATTACAATACTCCCCCCGCACAAAAAAACACCATAAGACATCATGCTCGTTTGGCTACACTAAGTTACAGTTCGTTGGGTTACATCATTCTTTGCCTCCGCTTATGTATGGAATCTATCATATCTATATTTAGTAGATGTTAGTTCTTTAAAATAATGAAGGCCAAGGTATTATACCGAAAAAAAAGTTGTTGAATATTATGTACATCCAAACAGCTGCACATCGTTCATTCCCCTATTGTTGTGTAATATTATTGTACACAGAATATTGATGAGTGTAATATTGTATCTCCCAAGCCTACTAATTCAAAAAGTGCAATGTAATGCTGATATAAGGCTAATATAAAATTTTACATCAGCCTTCACGGGAATAAATCCGATTCCATTTTCATGAATACAAAATCATGAAATGAAAAAAAACTTGCTATATCATGAAATCAGAACAATGATTCACGATTTCGTGATGGAAATTCATGATTTCATAATACAGCGGAATCACAATACATGTACCTGGCAAACCGAGCTCGTAAAACGCACTACATAGGTATCTCTTATACGCCTTTTGCATTCTATCTTATGCATGTTCTTACAGTCTAGTGATCAAAGTATGGGTTTAATGATCACAAGGTTTCTTGGTTCGAATCCAGTCTGATCTGATGCTTTATTTTTTTTTTGTGTGTGCTTTGGCTTAAAAGCTAAAAGTTATATTCATGAGTTTAGGTCATGATTTTAACTCGGATGATTCATGATTTCGGGAATCTTGGCTGCGTAACGCAACAATATCTCATGATATCATGAATATTATTCATGGTGTATATTCATAATATGAAAATACGCTATGTTCATGAAATCATGAGTAATTTTTCTCATTTCGGAGATTGGATTTGTTCCCGTGTTATATTGCAAAAGGGCCCTTATTGGACTCTTAACGGGCTTGGTGGTTACTTGGGCCACTTTTACCAGTTGTTCAATACATCATCAGTAATAACAGTGATTGATACATACTATATTTGTTTGCTGTGTACACATTAAAGTGATGAACGGTGGTAGAAAGGGCACTCATTAGTGATGCATTACCACGCTTAAAAACTTGTTTCCAGCAAAAAAAATATCACACTAAACAAACAAAACAAATCCCTAAAAAAAGATTGAGTCTCTGAGAATATCTCCTACGGATCCGTATTTCTGCAAAATTCAATCAATTTTATAGACCTACAGTCTTGCATCTGTTTTATTTTCATTCAACGCAGCTGACATATTGACAGAACGAGGTAAAAGCAACTCGTGAAAAAAGCATGAACGAGAGATACTGCGATTAATTCAATTCTTGGTAATGTGCATGATAGAGGGTGCTAGTGTGTATGCAAAATACGCTTGACGATATTAGTTGAAGAATTTCCTTCGTCTGGTTGTTTGTGGTTAAATCTATACAGAGCAGGAAAAAGGGCCTATCTGCTTTGATCGATTCTCTTCGTCGACTTTCTCTTTCGTTAATAACTCAGGTGCAACAACATTCTCTGTTGTATTTGACGATTTGAACGATAGATAAAAATCTCCTTTTTCATGCTATGTGGCAAAAATAGCACGAAAACTGTTTGCATAGCCATGTTTATCAAAAGAAAAAGTCAATGAAGAGAATCGATCAAGGCAGATAGACCCTTTTTCCAGCTCTGTATGGAAATGTTTTAATTTCTTCGTCACGGTGGTTCTTGAACATTTATCAGTCAAATAAACATCGAATTCACGGAAAAAAAATTACACATTCTACTGAATCGCGATGCTGCCTCCGGTCACTACCCAAGTCAGATTCAGCAGACTAAAAAATTGTTATGATCTGGGACCCAGGAAAAATATAAATTCCAGAATAAATTATAAGGAATCATTTAAGATCTTGAGGCTTAACAAATGATAAAACCTCTATTTGAGTTGTATGATAAAATTATTCTTCGGCATACAATAATTCGTAGAGGTCATGCGGATAGCGGAGTTACTCGTAGTTCGGCTAAACTCTGTTTTAATGCCACGAAGTGAGGTTTTGATTCGCGCTTGAGCAACCGGGTAAATTATTCAATAAAATAAAATAGTAAGAATTAAATTGTAGATTTGAGCAAGTAAGGGTAAAGATAGTGTCAATATTTTGGAATTATTTAGAGCTAATAACG